GAGTGGGAGCATCTGGGATGGGCTGACCCTGATATGACCCATAACCTACCCCAGAGTGTGCCAGTACAGAGGCCAGGGAGTGGAGGGGGGGGATTGAATGAGAGTGGATGGGTGACAAGTGGGAGTGGATGAGTGTGGATGGTTGGTGACCATAGCAATGCCCCCACCCCCAGCTACCAAGTGTCTGAGTGTAGAAACAACTGAGGTTGTTGTGATTGTTCTGTAGTTATTATGGAGGTAAAGTGAAGGCGACTGGACGTGCTTTATGGACTGAATTGGGGGAGGGGTAATCAGGAGGGGAGGAGAGGACTAACAGTTCCAACAACATTGTGACAGGAAAGAGGAGATATGTCAGGAAGCTGAGGATGGGCTGCTCTGTGGGATGATGGGGCTCATGCATGCCATCTTCCAGCCCACAAGATTCATCCCCAATGCCAGGTCATCAGATCTTCAGTGGCCGTGGACTCTGGTTGCTGTTACTGAATGCTAGATTGGTATGCAGTAAGACCACTCTCATCCATGAGCTGATTGTGGATTTTGCAGCTGACCTAGCCCATATAATTGAGACCTGGTGGGCTCAAGGGGGAGTTCCATTTCTGAAATATGCCCATCTGGGTTTTGAATTTGGCACCAGCAGTGAGCCCAATTTAAAGGAAGAGGGGTGGCAGTTGTCATCTCAAGACCTTCAGCTTTCAGAGGCTGTGCTCTGCTAATATCCAGGTGTGAAACATTCTGGTTGAAGTTACTGCGTCAGCTAGTTGCCAATAGGCTTCTGGGTGCAGTTCAAAGTGTTGGTTATCACCAATAAAGCCCTTCATGGCATAGGGTCTGGTCATCTGAGGGACCCTGTCTTCCATAGTGTCTGCCTATCCTCTATGGTCTGGCAGAGTTGGCATGCTCTGGGTCCCATATATTAAACAGTGTTATCTGGCAGTTCCCCAGAGAACTGTATGGTCTCCAACCTGACCTTATTCAAGCAAGCTCTTAAAACCTGGCTCTTCTCCTAGACCTCGGGCTAAAGCAAATGGCAGACCTTTTGCGGGAAAGTTTGGTTAGTCAGAATTCCCACCCACCACCCACCCCCAGATATTTGCTTTTGGTATTGTCTGTATTGCATTGCTTTAACTTTTATTCTAGATGCCACCCAGAGCTGTGATAGTTGGACAGCATCTAAATTTAATAAATAAGCTACTTCTGTCCTCCAACGTGGACCTCCAGTTACGAGTTCTGTTCCATGAGACTCTTAACTCATTATTTATGTACTATTGATACAATTCTGTTTTCATACTGAAGTCATAATCTTATTTTAAAATAGACATAGTAGTACTAGTTGTAAGGTTAAAAAATAGGTGTCATACCACTAGTAAAATCAAAGCATACATTGTAATATTTTTTATTCCAAGATATCACAAATATGGGGAGTATTCAGAGAATATAGCTTACTAAGACATAAACTATCCTTTCCTCCTTCTGAGACTGAGGCAAAATTCTACAGAATTTCCATGAAAATGAATCCTCACAAGGTAGACCTCTTTCCTACCAGATCTCTCTCAGAATCCCATTCCATGGAAGAGTTTGAAAAACCCTGGTATAGGATGCAGGCTTCTATTTATAGAGGTGCATCAGCCAAAATGTTTTCTAATTGTTCAGTTACAAAGCAAAGTCTCTATTGCTTCTCTTCTTTTACCTACTGTATATAAACACACTCTTTCTCCTTTTTACTCTTTCCAGTTGTCATCTGCTTCTCTTCTTCTAACCCCATCTCTAAATTCTTGGTTTTGTATCTGCTTTCCTTATAAGGAGCTGCCCATTTAACTCTTTACTTGCATTCTGTTAATACCTGTAATCTACCCACTTATTACCCTCTGTACACTCTGAAAATGTACTTTTTCTTCATACCCTCTGTGTGCTAAACCATAAACTGTACTTACAAACTACAGGGCTAAATCCGCACAACAAACTAAGCCACAAGCAAACAAATTATATTATGTGATATGTTATATCTCTATGCCAAAGGAAATGCAGCAAAGGAATGATGCTATCCACTTTTCTTTTTATAGCCAGCATCAAAGAAAGAATAAATTTTTGCTTCCGAGAGTATCTTCTTCACCAGCAATTCTCACATCATAAAGAAAAAGTTGCTACATGAAATACTGTAGTAATCTAGGAGCCATTTTGATAGCTGAAAAGATCTTGACATAAAAGCTGAGATTTTGCTTTCTGGTCAAAAGCAAAGATCTTGATGTTTTTACTAAACAAAAGTTATTTTCAGTAACCTTATTCTCACTCCCTAAGATAAAAACCCATTCTCTTAACTAGATAAACCAAATGGTGTAGCTTAGTATGACACAAATTATTCATTATTAGCCTTGGTTTGTTAAGAATGTCTGATGAATTCATTCTAAATTTATAGTTTCAGCTTGACAAGTCTAAGCAGGAAGAAATAGTTCTATTTACTACTGAAAATACTGTATACTACAATCTAAAACTCAGGCTAAAAAGGAGACCATAAATATTTAGCCATAACCTGAGAAATGTTCTTTTTGCGACAGAAGATTAATTCATATGCCTCATAATTCTTTGACTTATATACAGAAAAAAACTGGTCTGCACTTCATGGTAAATCATGTTTATTTAACCACGGCTCATTGAACAAGTCACAGTAGCTGGTTTGTACAATGTATTGAATCAGAGCCCAACAAATCACATTATAGTTTCCCATTATGTGTCAATGCAGCCCAGAAATAGTTAGCTGAAATCACTAAACACAGGATCTGCTTTGCCATTTGATTACTTTGCCATTGTGAACAGTTTGAATGAGAAGTAGTTTGCATAAGCAGCAGCTAAGGAATTGTGTGCTAGAAAACATGTGCCATAAATAGCAGGTGTCTAAAAGGATTCTCAGACCATCAAAAGCCAATCACATCACACAGGTAACTCAGCAAGCTGTCAAGCAAGCACTTCAATTGGCTAAACATGGAAACTGCTGACAAAAGAAGGGAACTACAAAATGAAAATATACAAAGGGTTCATGGAAAGGAACAACGGGGAATCCTAAACCTCACCTCCACAAATAATTAAGAATTATGCTCTCGCAACTTGTAAAGAAGTGTTTCAGTGGGGTGTATGGATATCCATGCATAGTCTTTGTTGGAACAAATTCCTTTGGACACAATTTAGAAAATTCTTCTGGATGTTGGCCGCTACTCAGCTGAGTGGCATAATCACATTTGAAACTTCCCGCCTCTGTTCTGAAACTCCTATTTGCTTTAGTTTCTTTCTGTAGGTCTCCCACTCCTGAGAATGATACACCTCTTAGTCTATATACTTGTTTTTTTACAGTGCTGAAACATAGGAAATTATTGGCAAATGTTCAGATTTTGATTTGTTGCAATGGACAACTATCAAGTTTGTGAATACAGGACAACTTTGAAGAAAATGGCTATGGATATAAGTGGTAACAGGAAATTCCAAAAACTTTGCTTTATCTCCTCAATTCCCTAAATGTGGCGCTTCAGTTTCAGACATGGTCTGCTCTCCCACTTTCAATGTAAGTCCCTGCTTACTAGCATGCTTTAATATAGTAATACCAAGTGATATTTAGAAAGTTTTATCCCAAAGTATTAATGCAAATTAGCATATTTGGTCAACATTAAGAATTACGCTCCACTGATTTCATGTGCACATACTTCGAGCAAATTCTACAAAAAGATTGTTAAGAGTAGCGTATCTAGAACACACACTGCAATGTTACTAATACTACTTCTTGCTGGATTAAAAGAAAAGGGGAAAGATCTCTGGGAAGCTGCAACTCATTTTCGCCAACCCTTTTGCCTGGAATGACACAGACTGCTATCCCAGCCACAGCTCTGGTTTGAGAACTGTTCTAATTCCACCCAGGTAGCAAATTTTATCAGTGTCACAGAACAAATCTACAGAAGCTATATTTTGCTGCATAGATGAGTTCTGCATTGATATTTCCTTCCTTCGTTTGAAAAATGGATACACAATGTGTGTGTTTTCCATACAAATTACTCCAAGTAATATATGCTGAATTCTGCAGAGCCCATTTGGCCAAAGACTAATAACCCCCCTTGGGAGCTGACACTAACTCTCAGCAATAGCCCACTGCTGCAGATTAGCACAGGAACACATGCCACAGAGGCATCCAGTTTGCCCTTCTCACATTAAGATCGTATTTTCACTCTCTTACACAAACCCCTTGTCTTTTTAATTCTGTTTTTATAGTGAAGAATAAATAAATATTCTGGCATTTCCCATCAAACAAATGCAACTGATTTTTATAACCATTATCAAATTCTGCATCTCATACCACAAGCTCTATCGAGTTCAAGATCGTTTTGCATTATTCATAGGTTAGCTTTCCTACCAGCAAGCGTACGTTTTACCATTGTGCTGAGCTACCTACTTTCTTTTTAAATGAAATAGCCTCTTTCCTTCCTCTGATTTTTAAAGCAACATTCAGTTTTGGAGTCTGCGTAGGCTAACGGACAAAAACAATATATTCAATGGAATATTAATTTAAATAGCCTAAAGCAGAAAATCATATCCACACGGGCATCATTAAAGCCACCTCAAGGAAGATGTAATCTCATCAAAACGGTAGGTTGCACTTCAAACATTAACTAGATGCTATATTAGAATAATTATTCCATCTTTGCGTATGTTATCACATTGTCTTTGTGTCACTGTACGATAATGAAGTTGTTCAAGGAACTTATTTAATCCCTTTTGTTTAAAAAAGACAACCCATGTTATACTGCATTCCACTAAAAAAAACGCACTTATTTATCTATACAAGTTCAGAAAACACCAAGATCTATTCTTTCTTCTAATCTTCAACAATTACGTCTTTTTCAGGAAAAAGGGAACAGAGCTTTTTCTATGTAATTTCGGTAGTATCGTATTGTGTGTTGTACAGTTAAGCATGCAGTTACTGAAGGCACAGTCTAAAGATCTGAAAGTGATTCAATACTTACTGAAGGCAGCCACCGCCAAAGCCAGCGTAACAATAATGGAGGCCCATGAAACCCACAATGCCTTCTTTCTGTAGTTCTGAGCTTCATGAGGTTTTAGTCTTGTACTGCTTTCTAGTAAACCTGATGAGAAGAAACAAATGTCCGTTGCTTTATTCCCTGCAACAAATTATAACTGGACCTGTACAGAATCAACCAAGTACACCCTATGCGCATTTGTATCCTACAGTACAAGCCAAATCAATCCTTTGACTGCAGATAAAGGAAACTCAGATGCATCAGTTCATTTCTGAGCCTACATTTCTATAAGGCAGAAGCAGCCTAATTGCTGCTGGAGCACACTATAATCATACAGGAGGTGTGTATGTATGAAGGGTTCACACTATCTTTATGGCTCTGTATTCACACTGCAATTCTTAATTAGATGTCAAAGAACAAGGGAAAGCTTGCTTGAGATCCCTGTCAGTCAGAACCACAAACCTAAAAGGTAGCTTTATTAGAGTAAAAAAAAAAAAAAGAAAGCTGATATATCTGAAAACTAGAGCATGGATATAAGTGGTAATAGAATTTATTTCCATTTTATTCTTTTCTTTTTTTCAATTCTAAGTTTGTTATATCAGCAAATTTAGCTTGTTTATTTAATAACATTTGAAAAATTGGCTTCCCGCTCTTTTCCTTAAATGTCACTTTAATTTCTGGAAAAGGAGTACTTTTGTACTGACTGCTGTTATCTTACAGGAGAACACAAATAGTCCTATCAAATCAAGCCTAACTATCCAAGGACTAAATTAAACAAAGCCTCTGAATTAGTGGATTCTAGGCTGAAAAAGTACCGCAAGCTCTATAACCAAGGCCTTAAGCAAAACTATTCACAAGATAATAAACTAAAAATAAATAAAATTCTAAAGTCTGTTACAGGTCGAAGATATATAAGTCTTCCTCCCATACCAATCTATATTCTCTAATTTGATTTGCTTACTATTACTGCCTAATTAAAATCTATGCATTCTAACTGAAACTAAAATATCTGAATCTGTTAAATTAAGTCAGAATCCTATTCAGTTCTTCCAGATGAAAATGATTCACTATTTAGTTACAACTGTTAATCCTTTAAAGACCTATGATATAGATATATAGATATATAGATCTAGATAGATACAGTATCTACATGTAGATACAGATATATGACAGAGACCTTTGCAATTATATACAAGCATAATATTCCTACCAACTATGTAAAAGAAATATTGTCTTATATGCAGCATCATAATTCTGGACCATATGCACAAAATTAATCTAGAATAACTGTTCAATAAGTTAAATTACAAACAAACGATACAAAAATTGATAAAATATACATTGTTTAAAGGCCACAATTCTTGGACAAAATTATTTTGTTTTTAAATAATTCTAAATGCTTTTATATCATAAAATTCTAATATGCATTGTGATGTGATGGTTTTTTCCCCATCTTTATTTAAAAATAAAATTTATAATTTATATGAACTATATTTCTAGCTGCTTATATCTTTATGAAATTGGTACTATTTAATGTTGTATGAAATATACTTATTTTCTGATTATTTCTTGCTGTATTAATTGGGCATACATTTCTCTATTTTCTAACAAATAGGGAGAGATTTTATAAACAATATTCTGAAAGGCTGACTTTAAACTTTCTAGATGGGCTACATCTAAAATCTTCATGCATCCAATGAAAAACACCTGAAAACTACAGGTAGTGCATTTAATAAACATTTAAGGCTAAAAATATTTCTAACATTTATCTGGGAATAACCATCCAGATTAGATATATTACTGAGAAAAAAGCAGCAAATACAGAAATAAGCTTAGGGGGTTCTTTGTCTCCCACACACACTTATGTCCCCAACACACACTTATTTTCTCCTTTTAGTTCCTCTTTCTAAGACAGAAATCTCAGCCTCAGCATATACTGTAAAAGGTAATAGTGGGAGGAGTATTCTTGGTTAAATAAAGATCATGCTATTTCTGACCCTAAACTCTTGAAATTGGACCTTACAAATAGTTGACACACATTCCCCCTTAGTTCCAAAGTAATAAGCAAGCTACCTTCAAATTTTAACTACTTTTAATTTAAAAACTGACATACCACCTCATCACTGCCACCAATTTTATACAACAGAACTACAGCCAGATTATCCGGGGAACAGGTCTAAAAGAAGCCACTGAAAAAAAGAATTATAAACCACAACTAAAATGAAAGAACAGGACCAAGTTCAAAGGAATGTCTGAATTCAAAGGGAACTTCCATGTCATTGTAGAAGACGGGGGCAGGGAACTCAGAGAAAGAAAAAATATCTACAAAGCCAATGAATAGACACGTGCCAGGCAGGTGCCACTGTCAGGAGACAATAGACTGAGTGTCCCTTCCCTGTAAAGAAGGGTGGAGAATGGATACACAGCATCCTTTCTTTGCAATGAATAAGGCGGCCTGCTTGCAAGTCAGTGAATGCATTTCGATTTGCATTTTGAATACAGGCGTTCAAGCACACATATTTAAAAAGTATGGGATGTTTTTATTTTTCTTACTGCATATTTTCAAATAAGAAAAAAAATCAGGGGAAAATGCAGGAGCTCCGCAATTAATTTGCTAGCTGCCTAGGTGAAAAAACACATTTTGCCCGAGAAGAGAAGGCTAAAGCGACTGGAGGAGGGAGAAATCAATGGAGGCGCTCAGATCAGTGTTAAAGGTGAAAACGGCGAGGAGTCTTAGGGACCCGCAGACTAAAGCTATTTATTGTCGCATAAACTTTTATTAATACCAGGGCCTCAGGGACTCTTTTAGCTGAGGCGACCACGGGAGACTGCCAGGACAGGTGTGGGCAAAGGGAGGCTAGCCAGGAGAGGAGCAGTTGGGCCAGAGAGACGGAGGCTTTACAGAAAGAAAAGGCAATGGGATCTTGGAAGTCTTCGGTAAAGGACGGCGCGGGCCTGAGTGAGTCCCGGTAACAAGAGCAGGTCCCGGGCCAGGTGATTTTTAACCGACGACGAGCCGCAGGCGGAAAGCATCGCTAGGCGTTAGCAAGTGACATGGCAAAATGTAGCT